CGCCGCCGGGAGCCGCCGGGCTGCGCGCCGCCGCCCGGGCTTCGCCTTCCCCTTGGGCGGCCGCTACGCCTGCCCGGGCCGGCACAGAGGCTCCGTCCATCGGCCGCGGAGGGTCAGGCTGCGAGGCGGGGAGCCGCAGCCCGGTCACTTGTGGCTTTGCTAAATCCCTGACGCGCCTGGGCGGCTAAAACGGTACCGCGGCAGGAGCCCACAATTGCGGAGACCTCTCCTGTCAGGGCTGCAAATGGCGTAGAAGGAGCGTGTGGGATTAATTATTATTTCTGCGCAAAAGGGGAACATTAAAGCCCCTGGAAACGGCCCTGAGTTTGGGGCCGGGAGGCTCCTCCCGAGTGCCTTCACCTGGGCGAGCCCCGGCGCCCGCCGCCGCCCCGGCGGTCCCGTCCGCCCGCGCAGCCTGCGGGCCGCTCCCGCGGAAGCACCGCATCGCCCTCCGCTCGCTCGTCTCACCCGCTCATCCTCCCCCGACCTTCCAGCTTGCACAATCTGTCTCCCTCGCCTTTCGGTCTAGAGAAAAAAAGTGTAGACCGAAAAGGACGGGAAACGATACGGGTCCCTGCCCCGCAGGGTCAGTAAACTTAAAACGCGGTGTGTAATAGGCACGCGTGGGTGATAAGCGTCCGCTTAATCACGCGAAGTGTCTCTGACTTTTACACGTGTTCCTCCCCTGAATGAAACACCCCGACACGCTCCAGGAAATCAAGTAGAAATAAATGCCCGGCGTCCAGTCATCACAAACGCCAGCGCCCTGCGCACCGGAGCGTGGTGGGGCACGGCCGGCGATTAATGGAGAGGCAATCTTTCCCCAGTCCTGTATCACCATGCCTCCACCTAGCTCCCGGGCAGGTACGACCAGCGTGTAATGGGATCCCAGGTCAGGAACAGGGTCTCTATTGTATATGAGAGGCCGCGTCCCTATAAAACTCTCCCGACAGTTGTTACTGGGCGCTGGGGAGGAGGGGTAAGCTAACGCATTTAGAAAGAAACTTTCTGCAAGGGCCGGAGGCGGGTTTTTTCTCCCCACCGCAGCCGCGAGTGCCGCGGACGGCAGAGCCCGCGGTCCGGGGCGGCGGGCCCGGGAGGGGGCCGCGGGATCCAGACGGGGCGGCCGGGCCCGGACGGGGCGGCAGCTCCGTCCCGCCGCGCCGCAGCGCCCTGCGGCGAGAGGCCGGGGCCCGGGCTCCGTGCTCCGGCGCTCCCCCTCTCCCCCGACGGGCGCCTGCAGCGTCAATCACGGCGGAAATTTCTCCCTCGCTAGCTAATATCTCAGCTCGCAGGGCCGCCTCTGAGTGGATCTGAGCAATCTGTCAACCCAGCCGGGGAGCCACCTCAAAACAGATCGGGTTACCCCTGATTGACAGCGTCACCATGGCAAATAATTTGACTAAAACTATTGTCTTCTCCTGGCAGTCCCCGGGTCAGATAACCGGACCAATCACAGCGCGGATAATCACTTTTCATGCCAGCTTAGAATAATATTATTTAAAAAAAAGGGGGGACAGAGAAAGAAAGAAAGGGGGGGGAAACTCCGAGAGGGAGAGGAGCGAGGCAGCAGGGCTTTACCACTATATTATGTGGGATCTTGCGGCGGCGGGGGGTGGGGGGGAAGCAGGGAGATCCCAAACCGGCGGCCGAGGGGGGTGGGGGTGGGAGAGCCGCGGCCGCTGCGAGCGCTGCAGATAGGAGACAAAAGAGGCACGAAGTTACTCTCGCAACTTGGACTTACAAAAAGGAGGCGGCCGGGGGGGGAAAGCCGCCCGCGCTCGGGCTCCCGAGACTTTTTTCTTCGCTCTTCGCCTTTTTTGCCCGGCTCCCGCGGCCGCTCCGGGGCCGGGCGCCGCC